ATTAATAATAGATACTCTCTTTTGGTGTGGTGCGTTGGTTATATTTATAGGCTGCAGAGGCTTTCTATAAAATTCAGATTACATAACAATACAAATTTAAGCATTTAGGTACACACATATATTGTTGATTTTTACACTCGAGAATCTTCTACAACTTTGGAGAATAGGCAGGAGTTTCGCAATATATATTTAACACTATAAGCTATGTATGTTTCTAAATATAAACTTAATCTAAACAAATGTTGATATTAAAATAACTATATAATAACAAATTAGTTACAATGTAGAATGTAGTATTTAAAAATACAATAGGCCTAATACTAATATCTTATGACAAGTATAATTAAGCACTGTAGTTACAGTTTAAATACTGACAGGTGACAGAGCATTAGAAATCAATAGATCTAAAATTTTTGATAAAAATCATGCTGTCTCTTGGGCAGTGACTTGTGGGAAAAAAAGATAGATCTGAAATACTATTTTGAATCCACAATAGACAAATTAAATGTAATGTGGGAAACAAAATCTGCAATTAGCATATTTTTTATTATAAATTTTAAGTCTTTTGGCAACAAACAATGCATGTTATTTGTTTCTTTAGTTTTTCTAATCACAGTGTTATTGGACTTTATTATAGTAATAAACTAACTTTTTGTTAAAATACATTAAGGTAGCCAAATTGCTGTTTCTCACACTGCAAATATTTTCAAGTCAAAACATTCTATGAACTATGTTTTAAGTGTTGTGTTCGAAAATTTGTTACAAATTAATCTTTTTGTTTTACAGTGACACAAATATTTCACGTGGTCTTAATCTAGAGAAATCTGGTTTTAGGATAAACACAAAATATTATGGTTTACAAAATTTGTGATTTTATTTTACCTTAGTAAGTCATCAACCACTTCAGAGAAATTTAGATTTTTTTTTATAAGTCTGAAATTTTAACAGATGTTCATGTTTGAATACTAAAACAATATGTTTCCCTTGAAAGTTATGGAGACATACCTGAACTAACTAAAGAATATTGATGTGATGTAAAATACAAAATGTATTTCTAATAATACCTAATATAGTTCATTAATGTTTATAGAATATACAATTTTTAAATATTTTTTGTATTCATTTTTGATGTCTTAGAGTTTTCCAGGAACATTTACCATATATAATCTTAACTGTTAGATACGATTAGAAGTTGCATCATAGTAACAAAGCACAAAAAGTTTTGCTTATACATTCTTAAAAGTTTAATGTTTTATCTTTATAAATATTTTATAACATTATCAAAAACTTTCCTCTGATAGAAGAAGAAAATGATAAAGTTTTCTCAGTTTCACATTATTTCCAGCTAGTAGTGATAATTTTTTATTGAAAAAATTGTGAATTAATTGATATTTTTAATGTTCTATATGTTTATGTATGTATTATGGTATTTAATTTTTCAATATTGTCTTGTTTTTTTACTACATTATAACACCATCACACTAATATTATGATGTAGAAAATGTTGCAACAAAATTTAAAATGTATTTTTTAGGCAGTGGTTTGGTTGAAAGACAATGTTAAACATACAAACGTATGCTATTCAAACAAGGCAGTTTTTGCATTAATTTTAAAATGTTTGAACAGTCCACTGAAGTATGCTTGTATGCATGACGTTATAGTTGTTTCATGGACTAGCCTACTTAACCATTAATAATATATTGTTTTTAAATATAAATATATGCATGTGTTATTTATACTTAGTAGTGTAAGATTATTTTCATTTAATTTCCTGAAATTGTTTCAGTTCAAGCTAAGTTCCAAAAATTGTTGGTGGTTTATAAGAAGGAAAACACTTATTTAACATTGTAGAAATCGATTTTTCAGCAAGTTAATTTCATGACGATAAAAATTTACCAGATTCTTTAAACTAAAAAGTTATTGTGATGAGAAACTTTTATTGTACAAAAGTTAAGTTGTTCAAGAGTTTATAAAAATACAATCACAGCCCCTTGTTATGAGTGAAATAATAATAAATATAAGTGATGTTTAAAGTAAAAAGTTTGTTTCACATTGAAATGCCTTTCAGATTTTATTTCTGTAAAAAACAACAATCACCTCAGCTTTAAAGGATGTTTGAAGAAATAATTTTCATCATATTTCTCCAAACATTTAACATTATTTTAACAAATTCACTTAAGTCACAAGGTATGTGGAATAGGTGTGTTGAGCTCTTCTATAGCTTTGTGAAAACCTTTTGTAAAAATATACTATTACCAATGTACTAAACGTTAATTAAAAAACTGTAATCATGAAACTATAGAAGTGAAACTTGGCAACCTACCTAGAAATAATTTATCATTTAATGGTTGTCTAGAGAGTAAATCATACCTAGATGTTAAAATTAATATGTTGATTTTTATTAAACTGGTCAATAAAACTAATTTATTATACCCAGAGGTTTGAACCAACATTGATGCTGTTTTTATAATGAGAGCTGGTTGTTTTAAACACTAGGTTGTGTTTATCTAGAGTAAATGTGAAGAGAGATAAATGTGTACTGATTTTGATAATATTCTATGACTGTAATTTGTCAGTAATAGTAAAAACGAAAAATGACAATTAATATATGATGTTTTAATCACTTGAAACATCAGTTTTATAGTTGTTTTTATAGCAAAATTGCTTTGAGCCATAAAAAATTAAAAATTAGGGACAGTCATTAAGGTATAATCAGTATTATTTCCACTGACTCTTATATGTGTAAAAGTTAAACTGATATAGGGATGAACATCAATAAGGAGAGACGTTGATGAAAAGAAGTGTTAGATGATAGGTAATGATACATTCTGAACAGTATGATGAGCTTCATCCACATATATGAGTGTGGAGGTGACACTCTAAACTGGTGATGGAATTTTTTGCTAGATGATGCAAAATATTGACTCCTTACTACTGCATTTTAAACTCTCACTGCTATCATGTTATGTTGTAGAGCTATGACTCCTGAAATTAATACAGTCTCTACTTTGTAACTTTATTTTTGAAATAAATAACTGAATGATCTGTGTGATTTGCTTCTAAGTTGTTAAAAGTTGACAGATTGGAATTTTCTAGCCTGTTACAAATTAATGCAGTTTTCGTTAATGACTTTGTTTTGCATTCAGGTCACCCACAGAAAAGATTTATATGCAGCAGAGACAACTGTAAAAGGTGAAATATCTTAATCTTTTCAGTGTATAAATATGTAACATGCTTTTTCTCAAAGTGTGGGTCAGAAACATATGGAACACATTAGTTGTGTACGATAATGAATGTTTTATCGTAATAATGTAGAAAAAATCAAGCATTGTTGATATATGTGAATATAATTCTTAATGTGTTTTTGTGTCGTGCTTTGTTATTTTAATTGTGTAAAGCTTATAGTAAAGTAATACTTAATATTTAAAAAAAAAAAATTACCAGATTAGAGAGAGTATTTAATCCTATCGTTGTGGGTCAAAGGTCATGTCATCACATTTGTTGACTTGCATTCAGAATTTTATTGAACAACTATTTTTATGAAATTTGGTCTATAAATAAATTTGATGTGAAATTGTATACTATAATTCAAATTTTAGTATTATACATTAGTTAATTTCTTAATTTAAAAGTAAATAAAAACAAACAAACATATATATCAATCTTTGTGTGTCACATGGTATGGTGAATGTAGCACTGGGTCAAATCAGATGTTTGTGATGTCCAAATACAAAGTCTATAGTTTCGGACAAGCTAGAATATAAAATAAGAACATCCCTTCTTTTCTATTTGCTGAGATATTGCCACGTTTACTGAATCAAACACAACAGCCTCACCCACCTCTTTCCATTCTTTGGAAACACTTCCTTAAGTATACCTGCTTCTGTCTGTGACATGTGAATAACCAATCGAAAGCTCAGAATGTCCCCCTAATGGCTTTTTCAGTATAATTGAAGTATGAGAGCTTCAAACTCGTTCTTTTCATATTAGATTCAAAGTTGGTAAGGTAAGTCTTTAGTGAGCTTGAAATTTCATATTTTTTTAGGCCCAAATACAGGTTATTTGCTAAGCTTGATTAATTATAGTGGAAATGTGTGGTACTGATATAGTAATTTATGCTTTTTGTTTATTTCAAATATATAACCTAAAAAAAATCATTTTGTTTCACATTCTCCATGTGTGAAACTTGATAAGGCATAGCAACCTATGGCAAGCAGCAAAGGAGTACCAAGTTTGTAACTAGAAGAGATAATTATTTGCTATACTTCTTTATTTACTGTTCTATTTTAAGAAACATAAGTTGAAGAACTTATTTGTAAATAGTAGTAATGTATATAAATATATAATTTATTATAACTAAATGGTGGCTGCATTTAACATAATTCTAGTCCGTTAAAACACAGCCAAGACAGGTCACTTTATAAAGGCCAGTCTTACATTCTTGGATACAGTACCATGAGTGTACCTGCACAACTTCTGTAATGTTAGCCAGGCATGGATGGAAGGTCAATATAATAAAAAATAATAAATATATAATGTTATGATATTTAAGCTATTTAGACTAAACAATTGTGTTTTTGTGTTATAATTTGTAGTCATTCTAGAATGAAAAAAGCAAAATTCCTATTTATTTCCTAATTTTTTATAGTGGTTATGAGATTAGTCAAATCTGTCGAACCCGTACAGAGATTCATTTAATGTAAAGTTTTTTCTTAAAAAATATATAATAATTATTTGGATGTTATAAAGATTTCACATGTGAAATTTGAAAATTTTATGTCGCATAAAAGTATTATCAATCTTAAAATCAAAATTACTTTGCATTTTGGATAATCAACATACGAAAAGAAAAAAGGCATGAGAAAAATATTACTTAAAAAATCTTAAAGCACAATAAAAAAAATCTGATATTTTGTGTGCAAAAGCCTTGTAATTTTTAATGATAATCTGCAAAATTTTGTGAATATAAACGTACTAATCTAAAAGTTATAGCATGAAAACTATAATATGCCCAAAATGGTTATGGAGTCAGTCCCAGGAACCGAGCCCATGCTGAAAGAATTAAAGATACCTAAAATATGTAGAAATTATAAGTTAAATGTTGTTGTTTTTTGTTATGTAAAACTGATTATACTTGTCACTTATTTTTACAGCAGAATGTGATGATTTTTTTTATAGGAATAGCAATGAATTATGAATTTTTCTTTAAAATTTTACCAGATCATTTTTTTATTACTGTAGAGAGACGACGAGTTCATCTTGTTGCACAAGACATAGATCTGTGTCTTCTGGAACAAATCTTGTTGGCGCTGAAGGAGAGGTTTTCTGAGGTTTGTTGGTCAGCCATTTTTACCACCTACTACTGTCTGACCCATTATAGAAATTGATTAACTGATGTGACTTTATTTGACAGAGAATATAATATGGGGTTGTTTAGACTTATTTGTGAGTATCAACTTGGTTTATCCTAAGATGCAGGATTTAAAATTATAATATTAAATATTATGACCTAAGTTATATATGTAAATAATTATAGAATGTGTTTACTGATTAAATTTGTTTCTTGCATATTATTTTGTGCCATGATAATACATCACTTTACTAAACTGTATTTTAAGTGATGTATTTTAAAGTTTGTCTTACAAGTGCCTTACAGGTGTTATATGGCATGTTTCAGGTACAAGTTTGTGAAGACACTATTGTTCAGACCCCACCTTGTCATCTGGTGAGAGTTCACAATGGCATATTTCTTACAGATGTTCTGTCAGAGACAGAAGCATGGGTAAAAGCTCTATCTCCATGTGTTCAGCCCAGCTCTTTGGTTTCTATAGTAACCAAGACTGATATTAATGAAAATGGCTATCCATCTACTGTAGCACTTCAGGCTAGAGCCCAGGCCATTGCCAACATGGCAAGAAATTGGAACATCACAATCTTTTTTATATTTTCTCCATACCAGGTGAGAAGTGTAAAACATTTAAATACTTAAATTTTAGATTATCTAACAGCAGACAGAATATCCCCTGCTGAATTATGAGTCATCTTGGCAACAGACAAATTGAAAATTATTAGTGCTACCTATTTGTTGTGATATCAACCATTTGAAAATAGTTTGTTAGAAATCTTATGCTTCCTTTTTCAAGAGATAGATGATAGATATCAAAGCAGTAAAAAAAAAAAATTATAGTAGAAATTGTAAACACTAATACTTCTTCTAAATTCTAACATTTGATTATAATTTTCACAGTATAGGTTTCCAGTAAAAGGAAAGGAATAATAGCAGTTAAATTTCACTTTATTTTATGCATTTACTTGAGAGACCTTTCATTCTAGAACTCATCAGGCCAGCAGGTCATTTAATTTAAGGTAGGTTGGCATGGTAGGAATTTAGGTTAGAAGTATACAACCAGAGACGGGGAGAACTTCTGTTTCTCTTCACCCCACTACATGATTAGAATTAAGTGGCCGGGGCTTTTAAGAATTAAATGCTTGCATGAGTAAAGGTCTTAACTGATAATTTTCTAAGTGACGAATTGACAAGCTGAGGGAAGAGCTGCGAGGAGTTGTGGGGAAGAAGAGAAAGAAGGAGAGCTTTGCTGAGTTGTATGTTGACTATGGAAGTTTCTTTCTGCGGGACTTGAGGGCTGGATGACCACGTGGCATCAGGCGTTTGACGAGCAGAGCAGGAATATGTAGATCGAGTATGTCCGTTGTTGACTAAAATGTTGAGATTAAACTGATTAAAGAATATTGGCTAGCATTTTAGGATAAGGATTTTACTACTTAAACATTAGCAGAGAACTATAGTGTTACATTTAACCTGAGATGGTCCTTTTCAGGGCTGGGATCTATGGATCTAAAGCATAAGGAAAAATTTTGTTGTGGGGGGAAATGGGAGTACCCCGAGAAAACTGGTAGAGTGCCGAATTTGTGCACCTGCTGCCTTCCTTTGATGTGGTAGCTGTTTCTCAGGCTCCCTCTTTGGTAACCCTGATTCCCCGTTACCCGTTACGACCATGGTAGGCACATAACCTACCATTAATTTAAGGTTGTACCTGAAGTATTTGAAATATTTACAAAATATTGATGACATCAAAGACAGTGAAATCAGAATGAATCTCTATCGCTTTTTTTTTATTATTTTTAGGCTTGAAATTTTAGTGAGATATCACAATGAAATTGTTATAAAATTCCATAATAACACTCAACTGTATTTTTAACATGAAAGACTCAAAAATAGTACTTTAGTTTTCATTAGTTCATTGTAGACTACTAAAGAGGTTTTTTAAGTATCGTAGTTAATTAAATTAACTGACTCATAACACTTAGAAAGGAATTATCAGCAATTTTTCCAGCAAACAAAACTTTGTGAGAAATTTGATGTAGTATTTAAAGTACTAAAGCCATGTTAGCTGGTCATTGTCAGAAGAGGTCCAAAAGACTTAGCTTTGATAGCTAAATATTTTTATTAATATCTGATTCTTATTTTTAATACATATACCTACATTTGGGCTCTTTTATACTTCTGAAGAGGTGATAAAACTTGTTATTGTAATATGTATTTCTGTAGAAATTCACTAAGTATCAGATTTAACAATAGCAATATATATGTAGTTAAGACACTTGACCTTGTTGCCCACATATTTATTGTTTTGCTGACTAAAAATATTTTGAAAATTAAATGAGTAAAAAAAGAAACTCATTTATTCAATTAAGTAAAATAAGTAAACTTTTAAAACTGTTGTTTTTAAAAAACGCTGTGGTATTTGTCTAAAATGCTGTAAAAATATACATATATTTTTTTACAATTTGCAAGAAATAGAAGTTTGGCTTTGTCATTGTAACTGACAAAATATTAAGAAATTAATAATGCTGAACTTCAAGTAGTTCTCTGAAATGAAATGAGTCTTCAGACTCATCATTACATGGACGACTGGCTTGCCTTTTCCCAGGCCCAGTCAGTCTCTCATACCTGATTCCTTCTTCAAGAAGCTGTTTGGGTTGGAGAAGTCCCTTCTAACTCGTACACAATATCTTATTCATTTAGGGGTTCTCTTCAATTCCCATCTCAGTTGGGACCGGCTTTCTCCACTTCGGCTCATGGATATAGAGCAGGCAGTCGTGAAGGCAGTACGTTCGCCTTCTTTCACTGTACAAGTGGTTCTATCTCTTTTGGGGACCTGGGCTTGCTTGGAAGCTCTCATTCCCTTAGGTCAGTGGATGCTTATTGACCAGTGGAACTTCTCTAACGATCCCTTGAATCATTCTATCACCCTCCCTCTTGGGATCAGGGACAACCTTGCATGGTGGCTCAACACAGAAATGACCACGGTGGGGGTTCCAATTCCTTTGCCTTGTCAAGATGCTCACCTGTTCACAGATGCTTCCCGGTTAGGTTAGGGAGCTTCCCTCGAATCCAGGGAGATTTCGGTGGGCAGTGGTCAGTCATGGCCTCTCTATCTTTACAGTGTGGGATTCTAGCTTTGGGTGAGTGAATGTAGTACTGTTTCAGAAATTAACATTTTCCTACACTGAAAATGTATTTTTGATAGGTACTTACCTCCTCTCACCCACTTCCCACCCTTCCTGTCAGTCTTGGAAAATATCTTGTTAAACTTCTTTATTGTCATAATGATGACTGAAGTCGATCTAGTAGACTACTGTTTGTTTAATAATGCTGTTGGAGAGTAATAACACCTACTTCTAAATCTTAATATTTCTTTGTAAGTTGCAAAATGCTGCAAACTTTGTTAAGGTATCCTTTAGGGTCATACAGTCATCCCTCTGAGTATGTCGAGCTTTAGAGCCCGATTGCACTCTCATGAGAAAGTTCTAACATTTTGTGTGCCAAAGTTCTATACATATTATATCACTGGATAAAAACAAGATTGTGCTCCATAACAACTCCAAACCTTATTATAGAGTTTGTTAAATTTTGAGCAAATGAGCTTTCGAGAACTTTAACCCCTTTTAATTGTAGTGAGTTGCACCGGTGACCTTTACAAAATAATTACTACTTTAGCTAAACCTTACGTTTTTTATCACTTTTATCATAGAATTTGAGAAAAATTGCAGACTGACAAATATTCTGTTTGGATTTATTTATTATTGTGTGATTATCTTATATAACTTTTATCTCTGTGTGGCATTCAATCATTTCATTAGATTTGTGCAAATTGTTTTAAATTGTTATAAAATGGCAATTGGAAATGCATAAGATAAGCATAATACTTTAGCAAGTATTAAGAGTTGTTGAAAAAAATTTTACAAGTCCCTTTTATCAAAACATTATAGCTTTTTTCGAGTAATAGAACAAACTCTGGCAAATTTTCTTAAATTTTGTTGCTACATCTTTTTAACCTGCAGAGCTCCTTTTAAATCAGCATTTTTTACTTGGCTTTCTGAATAATGGTACGGTTTCTGAGGTCTTGGGAATGTTTTTTTGATATCTTAATTGAGGTTGCCTCTGGCTTTTAACACATAAATAGGATTTTTTTTTCAGAAGATAAAGCTAGTTTTCTCTCAATACTAGTAAGTTATGAAACATTTCATATATCAATTTGTACTAAAAGTAACTTTTGTTATTATTTCTTTGATCTCATATTTTCTCAACTTTAACAAAGAAAAATATACCAAAATATGAATTATTTAAAGTCACTTTTCTAAATGTAAAAAAGGTATTATAATACAGTTAAATTTTATCTGTTTGTCAATAAGTATGACTTATAATTAGACAGGGGATCTTAAATATACAGGCAAATTATTCATATTGTATTAAAAGGTTAGAAAAAAGTTTTTGAGGGGGGATGTATTACTTAGATGGAAAATGTTCAAAAATAACCATCACGTCATGGAACAGCAAAGGTTAATAAGTAATCTCTTATTCCTTTTAAAATTGTTTAATTTTAATTTTTAGGCAATATCTCCAAGAACTTGTGAAGATATTAGCAAGAAGACTGCATACCTGCTTTTTGAAGAAAGCGACATTTTAAGTGGACAGATAATATATGTGTGAATCTCTTCAGTTTACAAGTAAACTGATGGCTTACTGTTATGTCTTTCATGTTACTAGTCTTAGTTAAAGACTGAAGCATGCAGTAATTGAAATACAGAGAAACTGAAACATTTAAAAAACTATTCTCCCAAAGTTGAAGTGCATATTCAAGAATAAAAATGGGCATTAGCATATTTTATACATATGACAATTGTGTGACTAAGCATAGCTAGCTGGTTTGTACGACCAGTCTTTAAGGTTATATCAGTACATAATGGTGTTTTTGAATATATTGTTTTCCTGAAAATGTCTAGGGATAATGTTTCAGTTTGTGCTGAAGTTTATTAGATTACTACAGGAACTGTGTTCCTCATTTACACGATCTGTCAATATTATATAGTGCAGTCTTTTCACAAAATTTCCATCTGTTGGGTATTGTTGCTTAATACTGCTAGATTGCATTTTCTTTGTAGAGGATGAAAATGCTTTTAGAAAACAGTCTTTAATTTTATTATTGTGATTGTGTTGTTTGTAATATGAATATGACCTTCTGAATTTGAAAATATCTGTAAAAGAAGAAAAAGTGCATTCATGGTCTTAGAAGAATATACTACATTTAAAATAACAACATCTTTATGGTTTCAGTTACCTGACACACCCCAATAAGAAGCTGCCAAATTTATGTTTTTACATTTGGACTAAAAAGATTGATTAGATTAATGTTTTTAATTTCTAATATGTAAATATTATCAAATCAAAGGTGCCACCAATTTTCATCATTTTTGGTTTTCTGCACAACTTTTTATGAAGCATTTTTAAAATGAAAAACAACTGGAAGGCAGATGCTGACTTCTTAACACTCTACTAATACTGGGAGCTTGACAGATCACTGTGTGCCATTCATTTGTACCTAGAAAGTGATAACAGCATGATAACTGTGAATTTGGAGATATGTTTTTCTGAAATAAATATGAAAATTCATGGGACTCTTAATTGGAATGTACTTGTAAAATTGTATGTTGTAACAACTATTTAAATGTTCAAACATATTGTGTAGCCTCCTATATCTGCTGTCCACATCTACGCACAAATGCACATGGGCATCAAATCATAAGTACAAAATGAAATAAACTTTAAATTAAAACTAACAAACTATAGTATTTTCTCAAAAGAAAAACAGGACCCTATTAATATCCTGCCTCAAAGCCAACATGCACAGAGAAAATAAAAGTACTTTTCTATATGGCCTCAAATAAATCCCTGCCATAAATGTAAAAAATGGCTTTGAATAAATCCTTGACTTTATTTTAATAACAATATTTTCTTTGCTGGATACAGCACAAGTACACTTAATATTAAAAAGTTATAAACTGGCTTTTTAACAGATTGAGGCTTCAAAAAAGATGACCAAATGTTGTTGCAAAATTGATTTTACCTTAAAAATTATTTGTAAACTTTTCGAAAATAAACATATATCTACCTGCTCAACTTTTTCTTACAGTGTGACAAGAACCACACCTATTTTTTAGTTAATTCAGTTATGGCATATAAATAAAAATAATACAACAGTAGAGAACAGGATGTTCTTCCAGTTTTACCTCTTTACCATTGTAAAATGTTCACTACTACCTCAGACACACCAATACGGCAAGTTGTTGTCTTTGATTTTTAGTGTAAAATCTCTCGTGTCGGTATAGTAATGATTTAACAATTTTGTTTGTTAATAATTTCATACTATTTATAATGATAAGGATGTCTCATTCATGAGTATCGGTAAATTACAATATTTTATAAGGAAACTCGAGAGAGAGAGAGCAGTACTGATTTTTCTCGTAAAATATCAAAAAATTTTTACATGAGTATGCGTTATATTTAAGTGTAAAACAGGAATTAATGTATTAATGAACAGTATCACTGATGAATAACTTAGAAATGTTTTGTTTAATAACTAGTAATTACATCATATTGTTGAGCAATGTTCTTTTAAAACCTTTTATTGTGAGATATGATTTTGAATTTAATTCAGTAGCAGTTGTGTCTTTAAATGTTCATAGCAACATACTGATGTACCATGTTTAATCATTGCTGAACACTTAAAATGCTGCTAAGACTGTATTATTTGAATTAGGAGTTCCAATTGCTATGTTAAGTTTCTCCCATTTTATTTACCGTTACTCCACTGTCAGTTTTCTTGCATAATTAATGATGTTAATCAGCTTACACTTTATCTGTATATGTATATATTTATATGTGTACATAGCATGCTTAAACAGTGTAAAATGTCTTACATTTCGGTATATATATGTGATAATTGTAATGAATGTATGTTCTATTTTGTACATTTTAAATTCTGTGTAACATATATATTACATTAATGCAATAAATCACCCTTGTAAGATGCACCAAATTAATTATATCTTATGTGGTTGAGTGAATTTAAAGTGTGTGATTTAGTTCTAAAACTAAAAGGTTTAGAATTTATGACATTTCAATAGATATTATATTGGTATGGTTTAATGTAATCAGGATGACATAAAAGTTTTGTTTTACTAACTTGTTCCAACTTCACTTACCATTGGGATAAATTGATAAATTCGCCTTCAGTTATTGTTGCCTGTCAGTGCTTGGATAACAAGTTTTATGTATTGTAAAATAAGCATATATTGTCATATAAAGTTATATGAATACATTTTTTAAAATTACAGAAGTATATAACAGTCATTTTGAATTTCTAGGTTATTTCATCTTTTGAAAGTATATTCTTTTATGGGAATAATTAGTTGCTGCTGCTCAAACAGTTATTGTAGTTTTGTGTTACTGTCAAAACTTGGCTACACCTTTTGAAAAAAACTATAATTTTTAGACAGACTATGTGTGTTACAAAAGTGATTTTTATGCAAAGAAATTTGCTGTGTTATATCCAGCAATCTGGTCTGCAAATTTTCCTGAAAATATGTAGAATGTCAGAATTTGCTTTGGAACTTTATGTGCAGTGTTTATCAATATTGTTTAATACTAAGTATCGATATTTAAATATATAAACCCTTTTGTTTCTTATTTAACCTTTCTCTGTGAAACCTATTTTTAATGATTCCTCCACTAATGATAGTTAAAATTATGTATGTTTCACACAGAATTGTGCTGTTTCAGATTTCACTGCACTCGCCTTGAAGATATATGGATATAACATCAGTTTTTGAAATTTCATTTCTGTCTGCTTAAATTCTGTATAAACAGGAATTACAAGTTTTTAGGATCTTGTGGGTTTGTGCCCCAGATTTTGAGTTGATGCAAAGTAGAATATGTATAATTCATTGCTTTTTAAACATCATAGGCCTGTAAAGCCCACTTCCATGTTATTACTACTACTAGCAGGAAATATTTGTTCAGTGCTATGACCTATGGTACATGTAAAGTTGTTGAACTTAATTCTATTCAAGTAGTAAATCTGGAAATCATGGCTTATTGTCTTACACACACACACACAAACAAAACTTATGAGAAAAGTTACCAAAGTTCAAATTATCACCAAAGTAATTTTCCATTTGACCTCCTATTTATGAGATAGGCTTGGTGTTCATGCACAATTAGGTGAACATGATTTTTATTGGCAAACTGAAGTTTTTGGCTATCGAAAAGGACTACAGCTCAAAAACTCAATGCTTACCTCCTGTGACATGATACTGTACTTAAGTTGAGTGTTTTGTTACATCCTACATCATTATATGGTACTTTAAAAATAACTGATAAGCATGTATGCAATTACACTGAAAAACAAATATACATTATTAATGTGTTTGTGGAGTAATTTGTCTTACTGATGGTTTTTAGAGTAAGATACAACAGCAAACTTTTGCGTGAAATATGTTTTACCATTGTACATACATTTACTTAAGTAAATTTAAATGTTTATTTTTTGATAACTGAAAATTATGAGGATTGCTAGATATCTTTATACATGTACTAAACAGAATTTTTTTTGCTATATTGTGGATTTATTATCTTAGTAATGACTGTAAATTGTTTCATATAAAAGTGTTTTTAAATGTTTTTATGTTGCATAATTGAAAATATAACGTTATTAGTATACATAAGAAATTTTCAGTATTTTGAAATGTATTCAGGTAGCAAATACAGTAAATCACACCATTGATGTAGTTGAGTTACAGATAACTGAATTTATTTTTAAGTCATATTCATGAACAAATGCTTAAAAAACATATGCATATTTGTATTTATTACTGCTTATATATTAAATGTTGTGCTTTTACTTTTATATGCAAAGTTTGTCTATCATAGTTAAAGGTTTTTATTGACAGTTAATTTGGTAACTTGTTACCTTTAATTGGTGATAGTATACTTTTAAAATGAAAACAGTATTATAGAACTAGATTTATAGATATGGTTAATCTTGATACACAAACAATTCTTTAAATGTGGTTACTGGCCATTTTCGTAATATCAGAGAAAACATGTTTGGTATTAATCATTAATATGTCATTATCTTTAACTGAAATTTATGAAGCACTTCATCTTGTCAGATTTCATTCATTTTATAAAAGTATTCAGGTCATTTAAAGTCAAGCAGAAATTACTATTGTGTTTAAGATATCATTGAAATTTTTTTTGTAAATCATCCTTTTTAGTTTAATTTTTTTCTGAAGTCAGCTAGATAACTAAAAAAAGTGTAAGTCATTAGATATTACTCAGTTATGTAATATGTACCTGGGCACTTAACCCTATTTTTATGCCACTGCAAATATCTATAGCTAGCAATTTAATTTTTTGATATTGTCATTATCTACATAATAAATGTATCAATAAAATGAACTGTAATTAATGAAAAAGCTCTTAGAAGTCAAAAAACCTTATTTATAATAAAGCAATTGATGTTGAACTTGTGGTGACTTTTTTTTTAATCAGTTAGTGTGATGTTATTGTTGTGTACTCATTTGAAAGGTTTCATCTGTTTCTTTTTTTTCCCTAAAAATTTACTATATTTCATCTTTTCTGAGTTTCCTGTCTTGTTTCTCATGACTTTCACAATAATGATTGTTTTGATGTCGTTTGTAAAAATAAAAAGATGCATTTATGTTGAACTCTTTTAGACATAGTAATTTTGATGTTGCATGTAATAAACTTCTTCATTCTTCATAACTTTGCCAACTCTTCCAATTCATAGCACCTTGTTCTGTTGAACAGTATTGCTAATGGAGAAACATTTCTTCAAACATTATGTATTTAAAGTAACTGCTGTGCTATATCTCTACAAGATAGCTGTCATGAATGTGGCTCACTTATAGTTACCAATATATTCTCCCAAACTTAGTATAATTATTTAATGTGAATCATGATGCTTTAATCTAAGTGGCATGACTGAAAGCAGAAGCATTGCTAGGCACTGGTACATGGGGGTCCATGTCCCGAATCTCTATTTGGTGTCTTGAAAAATCACTATTGTACTGAAATGCCAGAAATTCTTGTGCCTGTGAGCCCGAGCCCCAAATCTTTTAAGCACCTAGTGATGCTTCTGACTCAAAGGTTGATGAGAATACTTTTATTTGAGGTATCACAGAAAAGGTCTTAAAACACTTCTAGCTATTTCTTGTACCCACTATATTTGCACGTTTTCCATCTTATTGTTACTCGTTATACACTCTTTCAATATTTTATCTTGTGGTACTGCTATAAAAGAGTTACATTCACTATCAGAAACACCAGAGCATGTATATGATGCTTCACAAACTACTGATGCAGTTTTTACACATGAACACAAATACTCAAAAGTTCAGTCATTATGTTCCAACACACCATTATGCACCCATGCTGGGTATTAACATGACATATAATTGATATTATTTCCTGTATACTTGATAATGAAAAATAGAAATATTGACATGCCTTCAAAAATACTACAAAATTGTGTAAAGGCAAAGCATCTATGATGATGTATTACATCTGATCATTTTCATTAGTTATAGAAATAGGTCTTTATAATTCTTCAGTAAAATACAACTTTTATGATGGAGAATCCATTGAAAGTAAAAAATTGATCTTGATTTTACAAAATGTCTCTTTTTTGCCAAAAGAAGGAATGATGGTGACTGTGAGCTTTATGATGGTATCAGGCTAATTAGTGATGAAGATGAACTGTCACTAAAACCATCAGCATCTGATATGACACCAAAGAATCTATTCGAAGGATAACAGAAGACTCCACTGCCAAGGAATTTGAACCAAGAATAAGTAGGTATAAGAGAGAATCATTTGATTGAAAGTCCATGTGTATGTTTTGTGGAAGAAAGTCTCTTAAAAAAAAAAGAAGCCAACCAATGTACTGACATTTGAATATTGCCATTCCCTGGAAAATTGTGCAAAGGAAAAGAATGATGACTAGATGATCTGCAGGGCTAGTGAGTTCAGCAAACTGATGGCATTAGAGACATGGTACCACAAGCTATAGATATGACAACACTTCTGTCCAAGTACCACACTCACTTGTCCAAATATACTTTAAATGAGGATGTCCAGATGCCTGCACAAAACTTATCTGCCTCATGTGTGGAAAGAAGATGAGATATGAATTATTTGCAAAGAAGAAACTTGCAAATGATAAGCTACTCCTTACATATGATGCATTCATGTACCACTTGAAATGAGTTAACTACTAGTGCTTCATTTGGATGCATTCAGCAGTGTAGTACCTGCAACTTCCTAGGTCAGATGGTAATAGATGGGAGGTAAAGAATGAGTGTCTGGTTCCAGAATATTTGGAGACTTCTCCATCATCAGATGCTGTCTTGACCTTTTTTGAATATAAATGTAAAGCCAACTGGGTCTAAATAGTCAACTTTATCCATCCTGTAGTGTTTGTTCAATATCTAAACTTCATTATTTCACAGTAATGAGCAGGTTTGAAGTTACTTTTGAGTTTAGCCAAAGGTGTATTCCAAGTATGCATATGAGGTCTCTTTTTAGGTTCGATTTAAGTATACAAATTAATTTTTCTCCAATTTTTGTTCATATGAACCATAGCCTATTCAGCTTACACGTTCCTGAGTTATAGAAGTTGTAAATAACTTGGCCACATGTTTTCTATATTTACCCCTCCCCTTACTTATATTATGGAAGAGTGAAGAATCATTAAAAATCTTGGAGATATCCACAACTGAAAATGCTATAATATTAATTTGGTTATTGATGTAGTACTAGTACACACAGAAAAAAATTAACGTTCCTTACTAAAGAGGTATTTGTAACGCATAGGTTGCAAAAAAAGTGCTTGCCAAACTATACAATTTATATTTAGAACACAACTTTCCGGGTTTGCTCTTCAAATGTTACTTCATTTGCTCTAATATACTTCTGTGTGTCACGTTTTATTAAACTAGAATTAAGTCAATTACTTGTAAAGGGTACACAACGCAGTTTCAAATTAAAAGTTATGTCAGTTCCAGAGTATGTATTTCTTAGTTCGTCAGCATTTGTTTCATTTTACTTTAATCGATGAAAATTAAAATATTTCTTTAACACACACACACACTATATATGTATATATACAACCTGAGGTACCCGTCCTTTGTCCGAGTTATGAACTTTAAAAAATGTGGGGGTGAATGTTATGATAAATAACACAGAAATCCTAACTTTTACACAATTTATTCATAACGTATTATTACAGTATTCATTATTACCTCACCAAAAGTTTTGTATAAATTTTAATAACTCAATATGTATATACTTAAAACATGCTATACACTGTGTCATGGTCAGGGTGACTTTGTAGGAAGAGGGAGCGGCCAAGGTAGTAGTTAATTAATTGACGGTCATTGGCTACAGAAGGGTCTTACGGGCCGAACTTGAAAGGTCACGAGTCAAAGTAAGAAATGAGTATAACCCAAATGGCTCTTCATATCAGCCTTATGGTGGCTGTTGGAATAGAAACTTCAACTGAATTTATGTAGTACTGGAATAGTGGCGGACATTTTGTTATCATTGCATTCCCGAGATACATAAGACGTTTGTTCCCCCTCCCCAACCATTAACAATTAATGTAGATAATAGTTTTAAAGAATAAAAAAAAAACGAGTTTCCTTTTGTTCTGTTTATTTTTCTGGTAAATTAACATACAAAAATATCTATTGGGAAACCTGTCGGCTAAGTTATGCTTAATAAAACCTCATCGTAACTAGCAAAAAATTTCCATTCCGTCTAGTAAAGGCATTTGGTAAGTGGCGGATAAATTATTTAAGGAAGTCTTAATTTGGATAAAAGTACATTATTTAATCAGAAGGAATACGCAAAGTTACAAACGAATTGAAGTTTTTTTCGAATTCCAGAATAATTATTGGAATTATTTGATATGGAAAGATGAAATGCATGTGACTTCATTCAAAGTTAAAGATAAATATGTTTAAAAGTTTAGGAAAGCATTTCTGTATATTCTGTGTTAGATTATTGTATGAAAAACTTTACAAGGAAAGGGTGACTCAATATTTACACAACAAAATAAAATGATGTCACCACGTTTCCGGTCAGAAATGTCGTCACAGAGTATCGGTTTTGAATATTGGTGGCACTTTGTTTGCCTGTTAAAGCCCTATTTTTATAAAGTAAAAAAGTATAAATTCGAATTTTTGAAAAAAAAAAGGTTATAGTATCGTGACTAGCATGGCCAAGTGGTTAGGACGTTCGAATCCCCGTCTCACCAAACATGCTCGCCCTTTCAGCCGTGGGGCCGTTATAAAGTCACAATCAATCCCACTATTCGTTGGCGGTGGGTGGTAATGAATAGCTGTCTTTCCTCTTGTCTTTCACTGCTAAATTAGGAACGGCTAGCGCAGATAGCTTTCGTGTATCTTTGCGCGAAATTCAAAACAACAAACAAACGTATAGTATCGTTCAAAATTGAACCCGACCCTCCCAGATCTATAAGATATAAAACTCGATGTCGAAGAACAGATATCGTTAAAAACTTCTTTTGATCAGTAAGCTTGAACATTGTTTCCTCACTCACAGGTACGAGTAAACAAATTTTACAGCCAGTTCATAAAATACATGCATTGAGCAATACGAGTAAAAGTGAATTTGAATGTAGATTCAGCCAACAACAGGTCAGTTTAAGTTAATAGCTTGTTTTCAACAACAACTTGTTATTTTATGACATTCAAAGTAGAAGTGGCTAAACACAGAAAATAATTGATTGTGTGTATGCACATTTTCCAATCAGCACTTTGTTCATAAGTGTATATTTTTTACCCTTAAAAGAAGATAAGGCCGTTTTATTATGTAGCATAACTGGTTTAATATGTATGCAAATCAAAGTTTTTACATTCCCATAGGTATAGTTTCAACTGTTACGTGAAATAGTAGTATTGTAAAACAAAATACCCCCTATTTATCTAACTACCATGAAATACCCCTAATGATACACAAAAGTCTCGATTTATCGATCAAGCTCTTTCAGTATCCATAATTACTTCTACGGCTATCCCCAGGGCTTTCGTAACCATTCCCCCCCCCTCCAAAAAATGGACACCCGACCGTAATTCCTTAGCAGATGAGCCAAGTTTAGTCTTATTAGCATGTGTTCTCTTCTTCCTTATTGGTATTTAGATCTGTGAGTAGGGGGTATGAACACATTTCCAATCATGGTGCTCTCAGCATCCCGAGGGGGGGGGGGGAGCAGAAACACAATATTTGATGCTAGACTCTGAAAATTTTCTCTTAGAACTCCACCATTTTGGGTGACCTTCCGGGGGCGTTTTAGCTTCCTCTAGGAGGGGGATATGCCATATGGATAAGGACATCCAGAACCGTGGAAGGAGTTAGCTGGGCATTCA